TTTTGCTTTTGGTTCAGATCTGGTTCAATTATGGTTCAAGAAAGATCCTTGAATATTGTATTCTAAATTTAGGGAATGTGATTCTCAGTTGGAAGAAGGTAGGAAAATTTTTGAAATTCGCCCACCCATTCCGCAACCTTCTTGGCGTCCATTAGATGGATCCTACCATTCTTTCACTTAACTCTCCATACACACTTCCAATCGAAGAGTGTATGGGATTAAAAAAGAGAGAGAGAAGTTTGGTATACTTTGATACCCAGAAGAAAATAAAAACCATCAAAATAGTTGAATTTAATCAAAGAAAAGTATGATAAAGAAGATGAGAATGATCAAAGCAAAAGAAGAACAAAGTGGAAAAAGATCTATTAAAGCAAAAAATGAACAAAGTTGAAAGGAGTTAACAGGTCCATGAGAGAAGACACATTAAAATAAAATAAAACAAAGGCAAGAAGATCTAAGGGCTGCTAGCATCCGGCCCACTATTCTATAATTTATATATGAATAAAACTGTTTAATGTTATAAATAAGCAATTTTATAATATAAGAACATGCTTTTAGGTGGTGAGTACTATAGTCTGTACTGCAAATATTACACCCCAAAAGCATTGCATGCTTTAGGTTGTAAATCTTCTATTATTTTGCAACGTATATATATAGCCTATTATTTTAGTAATATTGGTACCACCCTACCACAAATCATGTTTCTAGACCTTAAAATTTTATATGTTTGTGAATGAAGTAGACCAAGTATTTTAAAATAACTCTTTTCAATAAGCATTTTGGTCATTTTAATAACTAAGCTAAGGCCACCTAAGTAATTTTGAACTAACTTCCCTCCACTCTAATGATTGACAGCATAGCTTATTAGGATTTCATGGTTCCTATTAGGCTTAAGAATATAACTATCCTGAAATCATTATTAGACTTTTAGTGTGGATCCATAGGCTCTGAGACATCAAGTTGGTTGGTATCCTCAAATGAAAAGAGTAAAATTGGACATACTCAATTGAAATATCAACTTTTTTATATTCATATAGACATAAAAACACATACACATGCACACACATAATTAGAACTTACAAGTGTTGAAGATTGATTAAATTCCCTAATTGCGAAGGGAGTGCCCCTGAGAAATTATTGTATTCAAGAGACCTGTACAAAATACAAACATTATAAGTATTAAATTTATTCCTTTTCTCTTACCAACATATGAAACCAATCAAAACCATATTAGCGCATAGTTACCACAGTTATGTGCATGGTGGCAATTAATTACAGTTCTCTAGTTTTTATTCTGATAATTCTCTAATCGGAATAATATAAAATAAAAGAATTATAATAGCTTCCTTTCTAAAGAAAAATTGTATTGACAAATAGGAATCAGGTGATGTAAAGAACAAGCATAAAACTTATTACTCCATCCATCCAATGCACAATAAACTATAATAATGGTTCTAGTGTATTGTGGTTGAACCTATGTATCAATCATTTCTTTAAGTGATAAGGATTCTACAATCTTTAAACTCTTGATCTAGTAGATGCTATTTGTGTGACCTTAAACCATATTCAGAGTAGAGGTTTTCACTTGGCTAGTTGCTTCTATTTATGTGAGAATGTAGAGGAGAATGTCCTTTACCTGCTTATTGGCTGCCTTGCAATAGATTTGTATGGGGTTTCTTCTTTTGTCTCTTTAAAGCTAGTTGGGTGGAACCTAGATCCATATTAGAAATTTTTGCTCGGTGACCAGCTATGAGAGGGAATATCGAGGCAAAGATTGCTTGAGTTACATCCCTATTGTTGTCGACTAGGATGTTTGGAAAGAAAGAAATAAGAGAACTTTTGAAAACAAGTCCTGTTCAAGAGATCAAATCGTTCTTATCCACAGCAGAAGGATCATGGACTGGGTTCTCATTCTTCTGAACTTTGATGGGGTTACAAAGGAAGATATTGATATGGTTTCTAGAATCTTCTTGAGTTGACCAAGATCTTTTTTATTAGCAATTGGTCTAGATCTTTTGTATTTCTACTTTTTATATTTTTCCTCTTCTTGTACATCTCTTTTGAGGTACTTTCTTTCTTTATCGGTGACCTCTCATCACCTTTCAATTATACTCTCCTTTTTTATTAATAATAATTTCTTTTTATTTATTATCAAGAAACAGTATTAGACTAAATTATTCATATTGCGGATTTATAGTATTAATATTATTATTCTTATACCAGTTTCTTTAACTATTTTCTTATTTGTCTGCATTCCATCAACATACAAGTCAATGACGTAACCTTGAACCGTTTAGGACTTTAAACTTGAATTGATAAGGGCTCAGCCCTTGTGTTGTGCATCTTTTCTTTCTTTCTTAAATTTCTTTGTTAAAATAATTTAGTTTTGGTGCTAGGGTCTGTTTGACTAGTTAAAGTGGTTTTTTATTTCGTTTTTTCTTTTCTATTATGTCTGTTATTGTACTCAGGGGCACAAGGGTCTTTTCCCTTGTTATTTCTGCCACCCTATATATATTATAATAAAGGCTGGCGCCGCTAGCACTGTTACATTGCAAATACCCTCTCTTCTCTTTGCCCTTCTCTCTTCTTCTTCTCTTCCCTTCTCTTTCTCTTATTTCTGGCCGGCAATACTGTCAAGATGGTATCAGAGCAGGAATACTGACTAAAGATAGCAGATCGAACAACCTTTACTGAGAGAACAGATCGAACAGACTTGCTGAACCTGGGCGGAATAGAAATCTGAATCTGGACTGAGGAAAAACAACCCTACTCTTTACAACTGGTACAGTTCTTCCGTTTTTTTTTCTTCTTTACCCTCCTTGGTTGTGTACCAAGTGAAAACCAAATGGTTCTGGGCTGCTGAACACTGTCGGATCTGTATACCTCTGTTTTTTGGATCGTGTGATCCTGTTCATGTGTTAAGACAACTGTAGGTCAAGGATGACCTGTCATCTCAATAATTTGACTTGGTTATAAGTGATAAGGATCCCTCCTGCTGATTAATGGCTTTAGACATTCTGAAGGTTGGTAGGTTGGGACTGTTAAAACCGTACAAGTCTGAAATCTGCCGAATATTGCTTCTGTTTTTGTCCTGATTTTTTGGTACTGTTTGTGCTCAGCCTGTTTTTAAACCCAAGTGTGTGGGTGTGGACTGAGTGGAGCATTGTTTTGTGAAGCAAGGAGGGGTCCTAAGTCCGGTGTTTGGGACTGATTATCTGTTTTGACCATATCGTCTGAGAATTCTGTTACTTCAGAGATTTCAGGGAGCCACAATGGAGTGAGTGGGGGAATGG